AAATCGGGATAGAAAATAAATGTTTTTATGGAACAGATCCATCTTACGAATCGGTGCCGATCGATGTTTGGCACGTTTCCGGATCAAACGATTCTCGGATTGCTCTTGATGCCTTCAATTTTTTGGCCGAGTCAAAACGTTTCCACGATCGCAACCAACATTAATCTTGCCAAATGCGACTGTGAGTCTCGCCTCGCGTTCGTACCTTCTATTCCTTGTACGAGGCCAAAACAAAAAAAAAAAAAAGGAAAAAAGAAAAAGGAAAAAAGAGAAGGAAAAAAGAAAAAGGAAAAAAGAATAAAAAGAATAATAAAGAACTTCCATATGAAAGTTCAACCATTATAGGTCGTAGGATGAATCAACACAATCGTGAATCAACACAATGGTAACGTTTCCAAATTGTTTTGCAATTTTTGATCGTTCTTTTTTCATATCTCTGCTTCATTTTTTACGCTTTGTTGATGCAAGGATTAAAAGAGAAGAGAGAAAAAAATATTTTTTTCTATCTTTTTTTTTTTTGGTTTCTTTAACTAAAAAAAAAAAAAAAAAAAAAAAAAAAAAAACAAATTACATTGATATAGAAAATAATCTTCTCAGTTTTATCTTCGAACATAGACGAAGATATATGAAAATAAAAATTTAATACAGAAAGAACTCTGATGAAAAGGAACATATTACGATCGTCGATAAATTCGATCAAAAGTGAGGATCGCTAAATAAAAAAAAAAAAAAAAAAAGAGAGAGAGAAAAAATTAGAGATAGAAAGGAGATAAATGTGGAAAAGGGAGCATTGAAAGCGTACAAAATAGAATGTTTTACACAAACATGAAAAAACTTTGGTGGGATGGGGAAAAGGGAGAGGGACGGTGGAGGAAAGGAATGAAAAACTCCGCCGATAAATAAGGTCAGAAAATTTGAACTAAAATGTGAACAATTTGCAAATATGAAGAAGAAGAAGAAAAAGAAGAAGAAAAAAAAAGAAAACAATGAAAATATTGATATATTAGAATTCTATAATAATGATTGGAACCAAGGATCAAGGGTATTATTGCAACTTGCGAAAAATAAAAGAAAAAGAAGGAACCAATAATTCATAACTCAAAAAGTTAATCGATAAATGAGAGTTGTAGGATAAAAAAAAAAAAGAAGAGAGAAAAGAAACGAGAGAAAGGAAGAAAGGTAAAGGGCAAAATAAGATGAGGAAGAAGAGGATGAAAGAAAAAAAAAACAAAACTAAAAAAAAACAGAGATAAAGAAGAAGAAGAAGAAGAAGAAATTAAAAACATTTCAAGAGTCCTTCTTGAGCTCGTTAAAGCCCTTTCCACTTATCACTTGAGCGTGGAAATATTGTATACACGCGTTACCGTCACCTGCATAAATCAACATTTGGTTTTTTTTATCGACATATATATATATATATATATATATATATATATATGTACATATATGTACATATGGTTCTCGGTAGGGTAGTATTCACTATATCAGTGTATAAAGGTAACTTCGTTAATTTGGCCGTTGCACATCCCCCTTCGTTAAAGTAACGAAGAATCTGTAGATGTTCTTGGTGTACAGGTCATTGGAACGAGGTTGCCAGGTCACGACCTCGGCCCAGAGTCACGATTTCTTTTTCACCTGATGGTAGCAGCAGGTGTATGAATAAAACATGAAAACTTTGATTTGCATTTTGTCGGCTTGTAATCGTCGAACGAACGAATCATCTTGGACGATTAACAAAACTATTCTTATTGTTGATGTTATTGTTTTTATTATATCGTATTGTGTCGTTGTTGATGATGTCTATGAGTTGATATAATACTCTTGTTGATGATAATATTGGTATAAGACGTACATATACATACATACATACATACATACATACATACATACATACATACATACATACATACATACATACATGTATATATAATATAATATATGCAAGTTCTTTAATAGCTTCTTTTTATCCTTCTTTTCTTCTCACTGTGTTGTTCAACACTCTTTAAGTGCAAGACCATATGTTTTCCAACAGATCGAGCCAGATAATAAAAAATCGATCGAGGAAGCTAAGGAAGAGAAGAGGATAGTAGTATAGTACTACTACTACTACTACTACTACTATTACACTTACCGACTGACTTATTAGTTCAGATTAGATGCTTGCCGAGCACGAAATCCTTCAGAGTTGTTATTGGTCTAGGCGAGGTCGCGGGGCAACCAAAGGTCTATTAGTCTAATAGGGCTAACCCTCCTTACTTTACTCGGCCTATGGATATTCACATCGAAATGTGTGATAAACTAAGGGTGTGGACGACGAGAGTTGTCCTATACAAAAACATACACATTTATACGTACGCATATATGAAAGCGAACACATATGTATATATATATATATATATATATATGCACGTACACGTTTACGTTCGAACGCATGAGAGCACAAAGTTCTCACCACTCTTCTTCTTTCTCTTCCTCTTCCTCTTCTTCTTCTTCTTCTTCGTCTTCTTCTATTTCTCCTCCTTCTCTTCTTCCTCTTTCTCCTTCTTCTTCTCCTCCTCCTCCTCCTCCTTCTCCTCCTCCTTCTCCTCCTCCTTCTCCTCCTATTCCTCCCTTTCGCACCAATCGAACACACCTCCCCTTTCGCGGCCTGCATTGCATCAGTGTAAAGCCAGCGCTCGAGCAGGACTCTTCGTCCTTCCCCACGCGTGCTGGTCTATCGTGTAAACAACATTCCAGGGCTTCCTCCCTCTGAAAACGAGGCTATACCTACTCTTCCAATCGATAACGCTTCCTTATTTTTTTTTTGTTCCCTTTGTTTCTTTCTCTCTTTCTCTCTTGTTTTCATTGGTCCAAGTCCTTTTTTTTTTCTTCTCCCCCCCGCCCGCTCCTCCCCAAGAATAATTCGAAAAGGACATCTGTAATATCGTTTCTTTTTCATTATTTTCTTTATACACCAACTGATAAGAATTATACTCGTGTTAATATCATTTTGGGATTATTTTTGGTTCGATTAAGAAAAAAAAAAAAAAGTAATAAAAAGAAAAGAAAAAAGGAAAGAAAGAAAAATAGTGATTCGTGTGTGAGCCATAATTATTAACAAAATTTGTTTCGATGATACGTTAATGTAATTATATAAAAAAAAAAAAAAAAAAAAAAAAAAGAAGGAAAAAAGGGGGAAACAAAACTGTTGACCCGTTTCTAACGTTTTCCCTCTCTTTTGTACGATCAGAAGGGTGTGTTGTCTTTAGAACGTTTATATATATATATATGTGTGCGTGTGTGTATGTGCGTGTGTACATGTGTATATATATATATATAATAGCACCCTCTAGTAGTTAATATAAATATCAACTTTCAATAAAATCAACGGGAGTTAATATTTTATTTATAAAAATATCGTATGGCCGAGTGTTGAAATTTTTCTTATTAAATTGTTCGTCGTAATATGTAATTACGTGATCGTTCGAAAAAGAAAAAAAAAAAAAAAACAGAAAAATAATGATTGGTGTTCCGATTAATTATGCGACGTACTCGATAAAAAATATTGTGACAGAAGGATAGAAATTTATCGTGGAATTAATTTTGATACGTAAGAAAACGGGAAAATTTTTCTTGGTGTAATCGATTTGCGATCGATGGTCCCTTTTTTTTTGTGGTGACGGCGAGGGAATCTACGCGAGCGTCTTAAATGGCAGAGAGTCCAATTAGCAACTCAAAACGCTTTTGTGCTAGACAGGTCAGCGATTAATACTTTATATAGCTTTATATAGATACATATTGGATATAGAGTATCTAAGAGGATTCTATTTTCTCTTTAATTCAATTATCTTTTGAATTTAACAACAAAAACAAAAACAACAACAGTATCATCATTATCATCACCATCAATAGCGACAACAGCTAAGAAAATAGACAAATTGTTAAATTATTAAATTAATTAATAT